AAATAAAAAAAAAAAAAAAAAAAAAAAAAAAAACAAATAAGAAAAAAAAATAAAATTATACAATTTTAAAAATAAATAAGAGCAAAAAAATGACTAAATAGTTATAACTTTGTTTGATAATTTAATTTAGTATTTATTTTAATTTCCTTGGATATTTATTTAATTTATTACGAATATTAATAATATAATATAAATATTTCCATTTTATTGGGTTTTATTACCTTTGAACATTTACTCAATTCATTTAAGTATAATTTATATATGATATCGTAATGAAATGAATTGGTCATGAATTAGTTCTGAAAAATATATTTAATTAAATAGTTTTTATTTTTGTTTATCGTCCAAACGGACAGACTGTAAAGACAATTACACACTAAAAAAATGAAAGAAAATAAATAAATAAAATAAAAATATAAATTGGTTCATAATATTTCATAAATATTTTTAAAGTTATATTTTATAGTTAGTTTTTACTTTTATTTATTATTATTATATTTTTTACAACTATAACTTATAAATCAATTTGTATAGTAGCTGTATATATTTTTATATATATTCTTTCTTCATTCAGTTTATTATCGTAATTTTTTTCTTTTTATTTTATAGGCAACAACTGGTTGCAGAATAAATATTATAAATATCATAAGCTACTCCCCTTCAATATATTGCCACTGAATCAATCAAATGCAGTCCACTTTGAGCTGGTGCAAGATGCAATTTTTGGCAAATCCATTGACTGCATTCTCCGAGTGCATATGTGAGCACACTCTACAGATTTAGAGCATAACGCTTATCATGTCCAGCATACTGTGTGCACAGCCAGCCACGTAATCGGCACAGTTTAGATTGCGCGTGCCGCGCTCCGATGCCGCATAGAGGCTGTCCACGTGCTGGAGTCGCTGCTCGGCGGCGCTAGTTGTTGGCCTGTGAAAGGCGTGAGGCCACTAATTAGATCTGGAATTGTGTCCGAGCGATGGCTGGGGTCACTCCATAAAAGTGCCCCCTCAAAACTTACATGAATAGAATTTTGAATATGCTGCCCAATAGGCCGTTGTGGGCATCCAGCGGCGCGGCGCTCACCTCGCAGATGGTGCGCAGCAAACAGGCGCTGCCATTGTAGCCATACTGACCCAAATAGCTAACAATCGCTCTGTAGAAGTCGTGACGTGTAAACCGGGGCGGTGCCGCAATCGAACGTTTCTCCAGGTTATCAGCGGTGCGTCCATCTATGGGCGTTACATCGCTGCCGACGCCGAGGAAACTCTCGTCCAGATCCCACTTTAAGTTAAAAAGCATTAGGGCAGCCCAGCGGGAATTCAAGCACTGCTCACTTACCCTATCGATCCACTCATGGTACGAATTATTCGACGGCAGGCCGTAGTTCGACTCAAAATTGAAGGCCATATAAACATTGCGATACGTCAGATCCAATGGAATTGCCACAGCAGCTAAAAACTGAATGACGAATGAAGTTTTTATTTTGTAATTAGGTTTTTTGTTTCTTTTCTTATATTTGGATTGAAGTCAACTTTGCTTACACCTATTGAGGCACCGCGTGGAAAGAAAAAGAAGGCCTCAGCTTGCTGAATAGACAGCAAAATTAGAATGATTCCCACTGAGAGGCTGCGAAGCTTAGAACTCATCTCGCTGAATGCGCTAAGTGAACTGTTTGCAGTTTCCAGTTGCAGCTAGCAAAGAAGTTGCGAAAATGTTCTAAAGAACAGCCTAAATGGGTTAGATATGGCGGCAAAATATTATAGGGTATAGTTTTATTTTAAGAAAAAGTGAGAAAGCTATCTCGAATAATAATTTTCCACAAATGTAAATAAAGTATAAAATTCAATGGTTTTAGGTTTTTAAAATATTTATAAAAAAAAAAAAACACCATTAACAACATTATTTTTTTTTTAAATAATTAAATATTAAATTATAGATTTTTAAATACATAATAACAATAAAAAAAAAACAAAATTAAAAAAAAATGTAAAGTAAAAATATAATAATAAAAAACTAAGAAAAATAGCAAAATAAAAAAAAATTAAATAAAAATATGAAAAATATTTATTAATGGAAATACATTTTTAAATCAAATTAAAAAATTTATTTTTTTTCTTTATTTTTATAAAGTGTATTTTAATAGCTCCATTTTGTAAAAATATTAGTAAAAAAAAACCTATATGTATCATAAAATCTGTATACTAAAATATATTATTCAAATATACATTCTGCGCGTAAAAACAGGAATTTTTAAAAATTAAATTTCATACGAAACATTTTGTTGTAAATAAAAATTGTCTGAAAGAAATTAAATATTACAAAATGTTTAAAAAGTAAAAATTGATTCCTATTAATCTAACATATTTAAAATTAAAAATGTTGTTCTACAAATATTTGTTATAATAAAAGCTCATTTAGCATTAAACAAACTCCACTCAAATATGTCAATTTAATTCATGAAATTTTCACTCAAAATTTGCTGTCTAGACTTTAAATTATGAATGAATTTTCGGTATAACTCAATAGTCAGGCAAGAAATGCAAAGAACTCAGCTCTAACTGGAATATGCAAGTTTTCACAGCTTCTGCCTGAGTTGGCCGAATAACTTGGCCATGCAGCAGCAGCAGCAGCAGCAGCCGTAGCCCAGTCCCAGCAGAGTGAAAAGCGTCAATTGGTTGGCGCTAATTAATAGAATTTGTAGCATTTCTCTTCGCCCATAAAGTTGCAGCAAGAAAGTAGAACTTTTTCTTTTCATATATAGTATGGCGATTGAAATACCCTGTAGAAGTGGTAAATATATTTAGATAATTTATTTAGTCAAACAATTTATAAAAATAAAAACTCAAGAAATATTTCTTTATGAAATTTCATTGTCTACAAAGGCATCTGCTTTTTATATGTAAAAGATGTTTCGCACTTCAGTGCTTGTATAGGGCATCGCCAAGTCAGTCAATTCTGTTAGGTTTGTATCATTAATAAATGCTTTAGCTAGAATTTTAATATCTTTGTTCTTTTATTTATTTATTTTTTGATAAGCTGTGGGAATCAGTAACGCGCTGCTGGGCAAAGCATTAACAACGTGCGTCTTGTCTGAAGAGTTTTAATTAAAATATTATATATATAGATATATAAATAAAGTAAAGCATAATGAAAACGAGAGTATTGCTGAACGTGGGCACTTGTTTGTGTGTATTTATACTGAGCAATTTCTGCTCAGGTGAGACTGCCACCTATGGCAGAACGAAGAACGAGCGTACCAAGAGATCACCCATACCGTGGCTGATTTTCCCAGCAACGTCGCCCACGCGCATACAGGTGAGTGGAGAGCTGCAAATGTGATGAAGGTGTAATTAAATGGAGTCCGTTTGCCATTAGTTCATTGGCGGCATCGGTATACCGCTGGAGGATCTCGACTACGAGGCCGTTACGACGGGCTATGTGCTAAAGGCGGAGTACTGGCTGCCCGAAACGCCGGACTCGCTGCGTACGCCCACCGCCTTGCCCATTAATCAGGTGCCCACGCTGGGCTCGGTGGGTGCACGTCGACACCGACCCATGCTAGAGAACTTTCTGGCCGGCGTCGATGACCTGGGCAAGAGCACCAAGAAGCTCTTCTCCAGAACCAACAAAGTGCTCAGTAGTTATCGCTGGACGGTATATAAGGGCCTGGAGGGACTGGCCAAAAAGCTGGGCTACCAGGGCCGAATTTGCGTGCTGAAAAGCATTTGCGAGGTGGCCGAGGAACCATTTCACTTCAGCAATGGACTTCTCGCAGAGCTGCTGCACATATTGCTAACGTAAGTCGAGCTTTGGATTAATGTGGTGTGTGATGTGGGCTAACGCCTCCGTTTATTTACAGGCCCTCGGCCTCGGTGGATAAGTTGTCTGAGCACGCGGACAATGAGTACTACTATGCCGAGAAGGTGGGCCAGTCGGGCGCTGGATGCGATCGCGTCTTTAAGGAGTGCCAGCGCAGCTTGCTGCAGCACTTTAGCGAGCTACGTGATAATCTAGATAGTTTCGTATTTTAGACAATAAAGCAATTAAAGTGAAACCAAGTGAAGTTCTAGTTTATCTATATCATACGATATATACGCGATGATATATCGTATGTGAATATTAATTCAATTAACATAGTTTTGTATTTATAACTAAACAGTCTGAAATAGACTAATAGATTTTCTAAGAAATTCATTAACAATTCTAGGCAGGCTTCCCATATTACAAAACTCCAAGTTTTCGCTCAGTGTACTTTATGAAATCGTTTGAGTCTGTTTAGGCGCTAATTAACAGAACGCGATGTCTACTCTTATAGGAAAACTCACACATTCATATACTTATGTATGTAACTGAAATGAGCGCACACTGGCGTCCAAAATATTGTGACCAGTGTTGCTGAGCTTCAACGAAACTTGATTTGTTTTTGTGGCAATTTTTTTCCACTATCATTTGGCACTTTCGTTTTTCTTTTCGTCACTTTGTTTTCGATTAAGTAGAAAGTAAGTTACTTTCTTTTCCATTGATTCTAGTCGGTTGTCAAAGCTGAAACTGTGCGGACTGAATTTCGGGCCTATTCCAGAGAGATAATAATGATCCTTCTGCATTTGATATTGTCTTGTTTGACTGTGGCTGGTGCCTACAATCAGAACTTCTCCTCTGAGCTGCACAATGAAAGTGATTTGCTGGTGCGCAAGGCGCGCTGGCTGCCCCTCATCTATCCCAGATCCCATCCAGCCAGACTTAAGGTCGGTAAGCAGCAGCTGAGGCGAGTCATCAGGCTGTTAATCAATTTACTCGGCAGTTCATAGCGGGCTTTGGCATACCCGTGGACGATCTGAATATTGAGTCCATGACCACGGGCTATGTGTTGAAGGCGCAGTACTATTTGCCCAATCGAGCCAAGCAATTGCGCGTGAAGGATGTGCACGGCATCACCGAGCGACAGCTTCCGGATAATGCCACCCTATTCCAGCAGACGATGCAGAAAACCGACCAGGAGCTGGGCATACCCCCCAGCCTCATGGAGGAGACCGCCCATACTCTGAGTGGCTATCGCTGGGCCATCTACAAAAGTTTCGAGACCATGGCAATACGCATGAATCTCAATGGACGGCAGTGCGTCTTGAAGAGCATCTGTGAGAGCTCTGCAGCGCCCTTTGATGAGCGCAACGGCCTGCTGGGCGAGCTGCTGCACATACTGCTAACGTGAGTAGACAGAGAAAGAGAAAGAGAGAGTGAGAGGGGGAGGGCGAGAAGCTCTGCTTTGATTAATTGTGTGTGTTTGAAGTCCTTCCAGCTCAATAGATGCGCTGTCAGAGCATACGGATAACGATTATCTACATGCGGAGCGTTTGGGACATGCGGGCGCCAATTGTGATCAGGTCTATGCTAATTGTGCAAAGTCCCTTTTGGCACACTTTTCGGATGTGCATCATTTGGGCAGTGAATTTCTGAAGATATTGGGCTGAATGTTGTGGAAAATTTAATAAATATATGTACATATATTGAGAATCGATCGAGATTGTATTTTTGTATTAAATATATGTAAATTATGTTAATTTTTGGATGTTAAGCTGGTAAAGTAGATAAGTTTAGTTAGTTTGCTTAAGTTTGTGATTTATCAATTAATTGCTATGATTGATATGTTAAATTGTGTATTTAATTATTTGTTATTTATTTATTTATTTACTTAATTATTTAATTATTTAGTATTTATCTATCTACTTATTTACTTTTATTTTATTTTATTTATTTATTTATACATTTCTTTGTTTATTTATTTATTCACTTTTTTATTTATTTGATTATTTACTTATTCATTTATTTATTTATTTATTTTTTTTTTTTACTTATTTATTCACTTATTTATTTATTTGATTTTTTTTCTTGTTCATTTATTTATTTATTTATTCACATATTTATTTATTTGATTATGTGCTTATTTATTTATATTTATCTATTCATTTATTTATTTATTTATAAGTTCAAATATTATTATTAATATTTTAATTTTGATAGACAGAAACCCATATTAATAAAACAGAACTTAATTTATTATTAATTATAGCAAGTAATTGACATACATTAATTTAAGAAAATTTTAAGAAATATTTTAATATTTATCTATTCATTTATTTTTTTTATTTATATGTTTAATTTTTATTATTATTATTTTAATTTTGATTTAACAGAAAACCATATTAATAAAACATAACTTCATTTATTAATTATAACAATTAATTGACTTACATTAATTTAAGAAAATTTTAAGAAATAATTAGATATTTTTTCCGGTTTGAAAATCTGATTTATTTTCATTTATAAACATATATATATTTTCTTAGTTTTTTGAAAATTTATTGTTTACTGAGAAAAGAAATAAAAAAACTTCCTAATACTTTTCTTACCCTACAACATTTCGGCATTAAAAATCATTATAAAGATTTCTAGAATAATTTATTTAAGACTCCAGTGTCTATCAATTCCAATTCTAAATATTATCCAAGACGAATGGCTTCCCTCTGTCGGACACCCACATTGAAGGGCAAACAGTGATTAAGAAATTAGTACTTGAGACTTTTCATATTTACAAGACATCAAAAGATGCCTGAGAAAACAAGATTCGTAGCATTCTAAACATTTCCTCCTGCCGTCTGCCCCTCTGCTCCTCTGCCCCTCTGCCAACCTTAGTTCAGTGTCAAGCGTGAAATTTATGCAAATTCGTACATAATAACTCTTTTTGTATTCTATTTATGGTTTTATGTCGACTCCATATCCATCTGGCAGCTAGATCTGCAGCTCTTTCTCTACGCTCGGGTGGTCGCCTTTTCCACCTATCACAACGTACGCATCTTGCGGCGGGCAAACGCATTGTCTTTTAATTTAATAATTATAGCTGGGCTCACGGCCTGGCATTAGCTACTGGGACTTAAGACCCACCACCGGCCGATTGTCCGGCCCATTGTTGCTTAGCTTCTCTGCAGCAAATAGGCGTTTAAATGCAAATGTCGGCGCCGTAATTAATACGCATAATACGCACATTATGCTAATGCCGATGCCATAATGACTTGGCCCGAAAAAAACTCTACAGAAAACTTTGCCTACCAAAGACCAAAATATGCTTTTCACACTTGAAATGCAGTCGATGTTGTTGGGCCAGTGACTGGCACGAAGGGCAATCATATATTCGTCACTGTGTTGCATTGTTAATGTCTGTTACGAACTAATTAGCTTTGACAAAACACAGAAAACAACAGAGCTACTACTAAAGAGAGAGAGAGAGACTTAAGAAATTAGTAGACAAAGGGAATGAGTGAGGCTGGCATTGAGAGTCTTGGGCTGCCTCTGGCTTTGGGGTCTTGGGATCTGCGGGTCATCGTCTGTGACTTTCTCTAATGAAGTTCCCAGCGAGTGGCTTTTAATTTGTTAGTTTCTGTGGTACACTTGTGCATCATTTCGAATGATGACAACATATGATAAGAGCTGCATAGTTGACAGGAGTCGGCCCAGCTCCCACTCCATGCCCCAGCCCAAGCCAATGAATGTGGCTGCAGTTGACGGTTCGTAGGATCCGCCATAAACTAGAAACTACGCTCGAGATAATCGCAGCCAGATTTTGTTGCTCTTCTTGTTTTTGTTCTTCTTCATCTCTCTCTCCCTCTCTATTTTTTATTTATTTAGTGCAGCTTAATAGTTTCCACAATCCAAGCACCTTTCACAAGTTTCATGTTGTTGTGATTACCTTTAACCCTTGCCAGTTTGTTTTGGGGCAATAATTTTTATTTCCATTGCCTTTCTTTGGAAACAATTTGTAGCAACATGCAACTTAACGAAGTAATCAGTGTGTGTGTGTGTGTGTGTGTGAGTGGCTCTGCCACAGGAATAGAGTCTGTGGCACAGTCAGATGCTTATCCCGCCAGGTTGCGACAACTATTTTATGACCTTATATGCGAGTTTTTCCTGAGGGGAACCAAGCGGAACTTTTTGCTGTCTGCTCAGTGCCTGCTTTATATGGGTGCATGGCTATTTTTGGCAACACCTTTTATTTGCCTCTTGGCGAAAGTAGGTGCCCGTCTCGTTGCCAGTTGCCAGTTGCCAGTTGCTGGGCTTTTGTTTGCTCTTTTGGCAATCATTTTTGTGGGCCAGAGCTGAAAATGTAACAAATAGCTGTAGGTCGAGGTCGGGTCTTGAGACGAGGCAGTGCTGCCTGCCATCCATTCGTTCTACACACAAATTATCTGCACTAGTTTATGGACTCGACACGTTAGTTATGGCCGGCCCACAACTGACTAATTATGTGGCCGGGCGGGCAATCAAATGAGGCCAAGTCTTAAGGTTTCATTAAAAATTATTGTAAAACTGAGAATATTTCATGAATAATCTTAAAGCTGATGCTTAATAGGCGTAATGATTCGCCTTGCATTAATCTTGATTAAGTCATTAGCTATCGCAGGAAATATCTGGGAATATGTTAAGAACTTTATAACTAACATTAAACCATAAAATATCGCACGGATTCAACTTGTGACTACTTTTGTTTTACTGCAGCCCATTTATAGATGGCTATCTTTAACGGTTCATCAAACTCATTTTCCCATTGGAACTTTTGATTGCAGCCATTAAATTACGCAGCTTATCGAGATGTTTGTTTTCATGCTAATTCGAATTCAAAGATGTTCACTTGCCGATATGGCATAATTAATTGCGCATAATATACACATACAAATGCACACTTAACGTCTCACTGATTAAGTTGTATCAGTGGAGCGCATCAGTGGGAAACACCTGGCGCTCACCCCGCCGCCTCACCACTCCCCCGTTCGCGCATTGTCATCGTAAGGCCGCAAAATCTGATGATATTTTTGCATAATTTTGTGCTGCACTTTATTATTAGCGTATTTAAACAACGTGACTAAATTTACGTAGTGCCCGGAGGCACCGAAAATAACAATAGGAAATGCCAGAAAGAAAGGCGAGCAGTTAAATAATAATAGCCCACGTTGCAAACATACATACATATACACATATATACATACATATATATATGCAAAGTGGCGAGCAGACAATTTTCGCATGATAAATCGTTAAAAGAATATGAGAAAGCGCGAATTGTAACTGAAATAATACGCAGACATGGATATATGTGGACAACTGTGTGTGTGTGTCTGTGTATGTGTGTGCGTCTCACATGCTTCTCACCTGTTCTTTTGTTTATGCAAAAAAGCTATGCAAAATTGGCGCTACGTACGTGCCAAAGAATTTCATGGTCTGGCAACTTAATACAGGCAGCCGCTTTTGTAGCTCACTGTATCTCTTCTATCCGAAATATGCTGCCGTCGCAGCCCGTGCCTCAGCTTCATATTCATGAATACTCACACATGACTATGTGTGTGTGTGTGTGTGTGTGTACGGGTTCCATTCATCTTCTGTTTGTTTTTGAGCTGGCGCTCACGTGTAAATTTTCTCAAATAAATCATTAAAAGCTGCGCGCCACAGCCGAGCAGAGCTGGGCAGAGCCCTAGCAGAGCAGAGCAGAGCCCCAGCACATTGACATTGTCGTCGGAGGCGCCTCCGCTCTTTTGAAATGGACGCCTTTAATAATAATCAACGCGGGAGTGCTTATTGTAAGTGCTCAGGCGAGCCTGAGGCAAGCTCAACACACCTTCTCTCTCACTCTCATTCTCTCTCTCTCTCTCACATACAATCTCTTGGGGGCATCCTCTCTATTCATAGAATTGCACTTTGTATGCTCTATTCATAAAGCATACGCCCAGGCGCCTCGTCGTGCCATTGCACTCGACATTGTATGTGTGTGTGTGCATGTGTGTGTGTGTGTGTGTGTGTGTGTGTCTGTGTTTGCATGGGTTAGTTAGTGGCACTTTAGCGCTAAAGTTTATACATAAATTTGTCATTGGCATTCAGTTACCTGGCTGCGCATACTTCAGCGCATTTTCTAAGCACACGCAAACATTTGTCTACGCCTTTCTTTGGCTGCCCTCGCTCTTCATTCATATTCATCTCTATTTGAGTAACACACACACACACATACATACCTATATGCATGCATACATGCAATATTATATATTCAACTTATTGCTTTGACTTTTCACATTCACATTCACTCAGCTTGAATATGTCTTTTTAGGTTTTTAATTTTTCTGTACATATTTTTTATTTGCTGGAAGGTCTTTGGGGTTTAAAAGAGTGAGATTCTCTGGTGTTAGCTTTTCATAATTTATATACATATGTTGAATGATTTATTATGGAATGAGATCAGCCGATAATAGGAATATTTCAAAAAAACTAAATAACTAAATATATAGAACTATATACATCTATATATATAAATAATTTTGTTTTTTTTTTAAGTATTCCTATTATCGGTTTCTATATTATGAGTATTACTAGTACTATGATTTTTATTCTTTTTGATAATTAATATTATAAATATTATTATTATTATTATATTTATTAATTTTAAT